GGACAGAGCCCCCCACACATCCAGCACCGGTTTGCAGGGTCTCGGGCAGGAGTGCATGATCTGTGGGGGGCTCTGCAGGATCTGTGGTGGGCTCTGTGGGGGGTCTATGGTGGGCAGAGCCCCCCACACATCTTGCACCAGTCTGCAGGGTCTCAGAGGGTGTGCACGATCTGTGGGGGGCTCTGCAGGGTCTCGGGCAGGAGTGCATGATCTGTGGGGGGCTCTGCAGGATCTGTGGTGGGCTCTGTGGGGGGTCTATTGTGGGCAGAGCCCCCCACACATCCTGCACCAGTCTGCAGGGCCTCAGGGGGTGTGCACGATCTGTGGGGGGCTCTGCAGGATCTGTGGTGGGCTCTGTGGGGGTCTATGGTGGGCAGAGCCCCCTACACATCCTGCACCAGTCTGCAGGGTCTCAGGGGGTGTGCACGATCTGTGGGGGGCTATGCAGGGTCTCGGGGGCTTTGCAGGATCTGTGGTGGGTTCTATGGCAGAGCCCACCACAAATCTTCCACAGCCCCCCTGAGATCCTGCAGATTTAGTTGGTGGGGGGGGGCACCCTAGTTTCGTCTAGCCTAGGGCGGCCCCAAACCAGAATACACCACTGGAGAGGAGAGACAGCCATTTAAAGAGGAACTTCACCCAAATCTGTGAAATGACAACAAAGACACCTTTACAAAATGTTTAGTGATGACAATCTACACACAGAGACTTCTAGATCATTGCCGGCTTTTGATTCTTTGCATTCCTTATTTTTCTTTTCCTCGCCATTCTTCTCACGGCGGCCATTTTTACTAAGGGCAGATTAATCCATCTCCCGTTACTTCCTGGAACTCTGGCACATGTGACTAGGACATGTGACCATGCACATCATCTCAGGGGAGGAAAATGCCTTTCCCCGAGATCTCATGAGATTTCCTAGCAACGCTCTGCTGAGGACGCAACGCTTGGGCGCAGATGACATCACTAATGCCCAAGAGGACCAGGAAAATATGTTTGTTTGGCTAATGAATGTAATATGTGATCCGTGAGGTCATCGCGCATGCATGGTCGTCTTATTGACGCCTGCCGGCGGCCATCTTGGTGATGGACGCCGGCAGAGAGAGGAGGGGACGTTTACCCGGTTGGATGAGGTATGCCGCCGGGCCACCTCCTCTCTCCTGACACTGTCGGGCTCTCAGCCCGTGACCGAGTGCCTGACTTTTCATAAAGGGTGACACCATAATGACTCGAATGGTGTCACCCGGGTGTGGGCCGCACCACACCCCCCCCTCCCCACCACGTGCTGCCACTGATGATAGCATATCAGCATGCTGAGTCAAAGGGTCCACTATAACTTTATCAGTATCACACAGACTGCGGTTAGCGGTACATTGTTTGTGGATCGGCCCGTTTCTATGACGTTTTACAAATAATTGTGGTTTTTATTTATAAGTTATAACAATTCAAAAAGTGAAACTTCCCATTAAATGCCGACGTGTAACGTGTAACATGTAACGTGTAGAAATGATCACAGCTGTGAGGCGCATTCTCCTGACTGGTCACCAGGGGGCGGCATTGTAACAGAAACGATCACGTTGGAGTTCTCTAGTATGTAAAGGAAAAATCTGAAGATTGTTCAAGAAAAGAGAAGGCGACATGAGCGCACAGCATGAGCATGACACGAGAGCACAGCATGAGCATGACACGAGAGCACAGCATGAGCATGACACGAGAGCACAGCATGAACACACAGCATGAGCATGACACAAGAGCACAGCATGAACGTGAGACGAGAGCACAGCATGAGCACACAGCATGAGCATGACACGAGAGCACAGCATGAGCACACAGCATGAGCACACAGCATGAGCATGACACGAGAGCACAGCATGAGCATGACACAAGAGCACAGCATGAGCATGACACAAGAGCACAGCATGAGCATGACACGAGAGCACAGCATGAGCATGACACGAGAGCACAGCATGAACACACAGCATGAGCATGACACAAGAGCACAGCATGAACGTGAGACGAGAGCACAGCATGAGCACACAGCATGAGCATGACACGAGAGCACAGCATGAGCACACGGCATGAGCACACGGCATGAACATGAGACGAGAGCACAGCATGAGCACACAGCATGAGCATGAGACAAGAGCACAGCATGAGACAAGAGCACAGCATGAGCATGACACGAGAGCACAGCATGACACGAGAGCACAGCATGAGCATGAGATGAGAGCACAGCATGAGCATGACACGAGAGCACAGCATGACACGAGAGCACAGCATGAGCATGACACGAGAGGACAGCATGCGCACACAGCATGAGCATGACACGAGAGCACAGCATGAGCACACGGCATGAGCATGACACGAGAGCACAGCATGAGCATGACACAAGAGGACAGCATGCGCACACAGCATGAACATGAGACGAGAGCACAGCATGAGCACACGGCATGAACATGAGACGAAAGCACAGCATGAGCACACAGCATGAGACAAGAGCACAGCATGAAACGAGAGCACAGCATGAGCACGCAGCATTAACATGAGACGAGAGCACAGCATGAGCACCAATTCCTTTCCCCCCATCATGCCCCTCCCTATAGAGAACTACCAGCCCCAACATCCTCTGCTTCCCCCAACCACCTGCCCCACATCAGGACTATACATCCCAGAATGCCTCGCCAGGATCATACCCGCCCCCCTGGTCACGTGTGCGATCTCCAGACACAGACAGTGCGCAGGCGCGGCGATCCGGCCGGTGTGTTTGAGGTGCATGCGCGGTGCAAGGCGGCCGGTCTGGGGAGCATGCGCGGTGCGGACTCGGAGAATCCATTGTTACATAGATGCATCCAGCGGGTGAGTTCGCTGAGTCCTCCGGGATGTACACGGCGGTCTGGTGGCGGGATGACGGTGAGAGGGGGGTGAGCTCCGTGTGAAGGGACATTGTACAGCCATCCCGGGGTGAGGAGCCGCCATTGTATGTGTGTGCGCTCTCCAGGAATAGAGGGGGAGGGTAAGCCGGGCTGATGGGGGATGGAGAGGAATGATTCCTTTCTCTGCTCCGCGGGGGAGTGGCATTTCCAGACTGGTCCGAAGAGGAGGAAGTGTGGGGTCCCTGCACTGCAGAGGGGTCTGGGGTCTTCTGTTCCTGCACTGTGGAGGGGTCTGGGGGTCCTCGGTCCCTGCTCTGCAAAGGGGTCTAGGCTCCCTGCTCTGCGGAGGGGTCTGGGGTCCCCGGTCCTTCCTGTGTTGAGGGGTGTGGAGTCCCTGTGATGTTTTCTGTCAAGGTCTCTGGGGTCCTCGCTCCTTGCTTTGTAGAGGGGTCTGCGGTCCTTACTCTTTGGAGCAGTGTGGGGTCCCTGCCCTGTGGAGAACTATCATGTGTGAAGCGGGGGCCCCAAATGCTCGAATTTCAGTGGCAAAAGCCAAAATTTGAGCCCCTCCTCCCCCATTTCCTATGGACATTTTCCTGTTGGGACTTCAGATATTGTTCTCCTGCACACATTTCATCTATTAGATTACACGTGTTTATATGAAGCGCACCCCGGGGTACCCAATGCCATTTCCCCCCCTGCCCCTCGGGGGAACCCGAGGCCCCTCAATATGTTTGCTATACCTTAAAGGAGACCTCTGCTGAGAGGAGTATGTTGCATTTCAGACGGAGCTCCAGAAACCCAACAATCCCGCCCTGTACCCCTCCCCCCCATCACCCGTATTCCCATGCCTTGGGTACAAGGCTGGTGATAGGTCAAGGATGAAGAAAGGACTGACCCCCCCC